GATATTGGTAAGAATAAAATGTTCAATTAACTATTTTCTATTAACAATTTATTATTAATCAAGAATTTGATCATATTTCCTAAAATCATTTTCTCTTTTTAATTCAAACTTATAAAGATCAAATAAATGGAGTGTAATGATTTTAATAATCTTCGAATTCATTTATCAAATACTTATCATTTATTTTTAATTGAGACTCATTCATTTAAAATAATTAATTAAATTGATTATTCTTAAGATTATATAACCACCTTTTGAGCTATAAATACTCATATTAAATTTATTAAACAATTCATTTCTTTGCAACTTTTAATCAAATTCAGGGAAATGGATGTTCATTTATTTATTTACTTCTATTTCTTCTATAATGCATACATTCATTAATACAAATCCTTTTCGAACAAAAACTATATTCTTAAAATAAGCTTGAGTGGTCAGAGTTATTTGAATATGATGTGGCTCCAAAAAAACAGTAATAAAGTAAAAATATACTATTTATATATATATTATAAAATAATTATCCTGATAGAGTTATTATGCCTGATAAGGTGGTTATTATTTCAATAAAAAGAAATATTAAAATTTGAATGTTATATGGGGTCTTTATATATAAACTAATCAACAATTTTATTAAATTTTACTAACTTCTTTTATAGAATAAAAACACTTTCTTGGTATGACATACTTCTAATCAATTAAAATAGATCTTAACCTTGAGTTTATGAAGTTTAATCAGAGTAGTCAAATATCACAATTATTCTATATAAGAATAAATATACTAAATTTCTCATAAAATTATTATTAATTTATCAGTTAACATGAATTCTGTCCCTTTCCAAGACATATTGAATAGAACCAACAAAACTCGATGCAATAGTCCTTATATTTCTTCATGTACAATTACTAGTATATCTTAAGGCTCATCTAAAAGATAGTCAGCTGTATATTCATCCAATTCATCATATGCAGAGTCTAATCAAAAATCAAAGCCAGATGAGAAGACCATAAATTAGTTATATTCCCTTTTTAAAAAATAAGGATTTGACAACATCAATGGGCTGCTTAAATATTTGGATGCTTAACGTGATTAATAGACCAGAAAAAGTACATCGCCAATGCTTAGGACAGTTCAAGATGAAAACGATCGAAAAAAGTTTGGAATCATGATTAACGAAGCCAAATAGGGTTTGAATTAGTTAGAGCATAAAATCATAAATCTATAGAACAAACAAGATTGTAGAAATAATATGACATTGAAATATAAGAATTTATTGACAGAAGATGATGAAAATCATGAATACTTGTATGAGAATAGATAAGATTACAAGAAACTATACACTCAAACTCTAAATGAGAAAGAATAACTATAAAAAAAAGTCGATTTAATAGTTTAAGAGAACAAATAAAGAGATGAAAAAATTAATTCATTAAATTAAGAAGTGGAATTACTCAAAAAATAAATACAAGGATTGCTTATTCTAAAAGAAGAGAGTTCATAATCACCAAGACCTTCAATAAGTGGTTCTGATTATACATTTACACTCAATGTTTGTAATTCAGAAGTCAGAGGAGACAAACCAATCTCCTATAAAGATTTTTTGCATACATAAAGTTAGTAGATAAAACGAATTTGATAGTAGAGATTATTCATCATAATATACTCCAAGCATTTTTACCAATATTATTTAGAATATTAGTGTTGGCTCCTGCTCTAATGAGTATGTCTGCAATTTTATAATGGCCATATGATAGAGCTACATGGACAGCCGTATTTCCATCATCCTGCTTAAGTAAAAAAATACATTTTAAATGTTAATGTCTGCTCCCATCTTAATTAGTTCTTTAACCATATCTTTACATCCACTTTTGGAAGCCAAAATCAATAAAGTGTCATTGTTCTCTAATCTTCGGTCTATATACATTTGTGGCACCTATTACAGATGTTCAGAGAACTATTCTTAATAGATAATTATTACTTCTTGAAAATCATTATCATAAATAAGTTATTCTAATATTTTGAATTGATCGAGGTTTTATCTTCTGTTATGGCCTAAAGCTTGGTTTCTCATTCGTAATGAATAGGAAAACATACTCAAAGACTAAACTTAAAGAAGGATATATACTTTATTTTCCATAATGGGTTATTAAAGCAATGAACCATTAAATGACTTTTATTATTATTTGGAAGGAATTAATTCCTCCTTTTATTAAATTTGCTAATGAGGAAGGGTCAATTTTTCTTGAGACACTTTGACTAAATCTTTGATTTTTTGACTTTTCTACATCTTAGGAGGATTAGTCTAAGATATAATATGTGAGGAATCCATGGCGGATTTAGATTTTATCGACTTCAAGGATGATTGTGGACTTATCTCCAATTGGGACAAATTTTCCTCTAGATTTTACACGCTTGAGACTTTGACAGATTATTATGATTGATTGGTAGGCTTTGTAAGATATTATGTTGAAGCTTGAGAAGACATTGTAAGTTAATTGATTTGTATATTAAGATGTGGGTTTGCTATGGACATTGGTTACATCAGGGGAATTGATAGTATGTTTGGAATTGAGTTTAGGTTTGACGATAACAGTCAAACTATCTCTTTATAAATTTCTGCTTCTGCCCTGCTATTTGAGACTGATTAGCTTTTGTTTTTGAAGCAGTTAGTATTCCGAAGATTATTGAGATTATTGAGATTGTTAAGAAGAAGAAATAAGATGTTATGGAGCTTCAAGAATAGTTGATTACACAAGATCAGAATGTTCTGGATCAATCATTCTTTATTAATTCTAATATCTGCCGATGAGTATCTTTTCATATCTCATTTCGATGCCATTCAGTATCATATTTCTCAGTTTTCTTTATAAATAGAAAGAGTCTAAGTTTGTTAATGCATTAGTGTCGCAATCTCCATGAATAAATTGCTGAATCTGTTCCTCAGATTATTCCATCATTTGGAATGTCAATAGATCATTCTTAGTACTCTAATCTAAAACACTTATTATGACTTATGCATTTAACGGACAATGAAATTTATTCTTCACCTTCTTGATTGTGTTTAATAATCCAGTTGAAATTTCTAAATTAATTTGGAGATTTACATATTTGATTTTTTACAACATCCTCAACGAAGATCTATGATTCAGAGTCATCACTTAAATTTTTCATCGATTGTATAATGTTTTTCATTTTACTTTCATGTTTTTGATCAACTTAAAGTCCTAATCTAGTTTTATGAAATCAATTACTGCTATTTGGTCCCTCTAAAATTTGATCAAATGAATTACTCTAATCTGATTAACTAGATAGAAGACTAATTGAATTTTCAAAGTCAAACGAGAACTGTTTTCGTAACTAGGGAATATCATATTTCTCAAAAAATATTTGTGATTCTTAAACTAAATTTGATTTTTCTATGCTCTTAATTTATTTCGTAAAATTACGGCTTGTTTAAAAAGAACTAATCCTAAAAACAAGATTTACATTTAAGAACCAGTTATCATTGAGACATATTAGTAAAATATATCTTCAATCTCTTTTAAATTATGCTAAGTATAAGATATCTTTTGTGGTATTTTATGTAATCTATTTTGATAATAGAGTCTCACATATAAATTTGACTAATTATTAATTTTAATTTCTTACTTTAGAATATTCTTAATTAAAATCCAAATTGCTGTTATCTTCAATAGTATTCGTATTCAAAATACTATTATACACATTGTGATTAGAAATATGATCTTTATTAATAATAACTGATTAAGAGGCTGAATTTTATATTTTTTACAATTTAAAAGATGAATGTAATGAGGAGGAATGCTGAATGGCTTTTTTAGGTGGGGAAATTGGTTGAATTACTTATTCATCAATAATAGTATCCATATGAACAATAAATTTAGGCTTGTTAAATTCCAAAATTGTATTTTACAATATAGGATTAGTAATTGTAATAATTATTTTATTAGCATCATCCATTAAATTCGGTAAAATTTATTCATAATTATTTTGTATTACTTATCCTTAACCAATCTGATTTGAATAGACAGATTACTTTTTAAATTTGTTTAATAAGGAAAATTACTATTATTATGGATAGTCACATTCTTTAGTAGTCCATTGTGTGCCCTTGATCATTGATATTTTTCTTTAAAATGCTTTGTTTGTTGTATTTAATTTTTGTAATTGACTCTAAACAATAGTGTTTATTTTGTGACTATGTTTAAAAACATATTTGTCTTTGATGCATTTAATGCTTTATCTAGATTCAATATTATTGGATTTTTTGCGGGTTTACATATTTTTTGCTAATATAAAGTTTCCTTATTCGTATTAATCACTAATTTTCTACCTTTCCTCTTCATGTTTTGAACTGAATTCAGGTGAGATGATGACTGTAAACAATGATTTTAACTATTTTTAATAAAAATATTACTTCTCTATGTTTAAACATATTCTAAACTTACTGGGATACAGCATTTTTGAATTTCATCTTTACGCTTAATTTTTTCATTGCTCTCGATGATTATAATTCATCGTCATCAAAATTGACTTCTCTTTCAGTCTAAAAGACCTCTTCCTAATTTTCATTTTGATTTTTAAGTTCATTCAATTCATTTGGCTCAGTGATACTAACCTTTCGTTATAATATATTGAAAAGATCTGATGCTTTTTTGTCTTCATTTACAAATTCATTATCATCTGCATTATTTACTTCATCCATATAAAATTTATCTGCTTCTTAAAAAAGTTGGCTTTTTGAATCTTAAATTTCGGTTACTTATTGAATTGGCACCAAAGGGATGTCTGTTATTCTCGGACTTGTAATTTAGATGCTTCTTTGTGATTCCAGCTGCAATGAGGGCAAGGTACTCTTTCTGACAGTATCCATTCTTCTTGAATCTCTGACTTTATTTTGTATGATCAAGAATGGAGCTTGCTAGGAATCCGATTGAAATATCATTCTTTCCTGTCTTCCTCTCCTTCTAATTGGAGGTTGTGGTTGCTGCTTGATATCTGAGGAAAGACTTTTGATGTGATGGGAAACCGGTTGTTTTTAAGGAAAGTGAAGAGTAGAAGTTTTAATTCTTAATGAATCATTTTAGATAGGCTTTGAAATATTTTATGGACTGAGTAAAGGCTTCACTCTATTAGAGTTGTTTTTATTATTTGATGTTTATGTTTTTGCAGATGATAAATATTCTGACAAAATGCTTGGAGTTGAAGTAGTTGGACCATTATATTTTGATAATGCTTTATAAAGTTGCTAAATTGATAAATAAAATACAATACTTATTTTTGGTTAGCATTGTCGAAAAAATTTTAATTCATTATATTATTTGTTAAGTGAATTGCTTGAATCTCTAATTTATTATTTGATTAAATTGATTTTTGGTAATTACATAAATATTATTGAAGTAAGAATTCCCTAATCATCAAGTTTAATGAAATAATAAAATGAAATGAATAAGTACTTGCGTAAGAAAATTAATAAAAGTTGTTAGATAGTATGGGAAATATTTTATAATCTAGTAAATTCTGAAAGATTGAAATCTTATAAACATTTTCTAGATGTATGATGATACGAAGTTTAACTAAATGGAATAAAATAAATGTTAAGGGAAAACATGTAATTCAACATACAATAATTATCACTGGTAGCAACCTAACACTCAGTCTTCAGGGAAGAATGAATTCAATATCTCCTACATAAATGCTCATTTTGGAGAAATTTTTAATGTATTGTATCATTATGTAATATTAATCCTAAAGAAATTAATAACAATTGCTAGTCAAATAATTAAGATATTTAATTCACATAAGAATTAAGTTATTTTTAAAAAAGAAATGGGTACAAATTTAATTGAAGAAGATGAAGTTAATTAGGACTAAAAATTTTGAGGAGGATAATCTTGCTAAGGCTGGATAAATCTTAGAAAAATTAATCTTAAGAGCAGAAAATTATGAAAATTTAGAGAAATAAATACAAGAAGTATGTATGGATGCAGTTACAAAATTGATGAAAAATAAATTACAAAAATTAAAACAATTAATAATAATATTGATTAATAAAAATCATTCTGTTTTACATATAGTTTTAACATTTTAGATTATTTTTTGAGATTGATTAATTTTCGAGGGAGATTAAGCATCTGATCTTAATTTAAAAGGGATAGATTAAGACTTTATTCTATCTATGAATTGTTATACATTATGTTCACTCTTAATTTTTTTCTAGCTGAAAATTTATCTAGGGCTTTCAATCTGAGTTTAGATCCTTTCTATTAATGTATCCTTTCTAGATTATCCTCCTTTTGTATTCAATATTAAATCAGCAATTTTTAATTTTGTCTCTATTATTGTATTACAAAGTCTTAATTCATTTTTTTACCATTTCAACCCTTTAATGATATATTGATTTACTATTTGGTTTGAGATATTTGGCCATGCCCCTTTAAGTTAATTAGCCTGATTCTACGATTTGTTTTTTTTTATCATATTCTCTTCTCTGCTTTAAAATAAATTTTTTCATTTCTTATTTTTTAACAGATGATTGGATCATTGGAATAAATTATAAAACAGACCGACAAGTTTATGGAGTATTCGTTGAATAAGGGCTTACCATCATGTTTGAGATACTTGATGATTTGCCATGAGAATTTAGTGCTGCAATTTTGCATACAATATCCATAAATTGAGATAATATAAATATAATATTAATCGGGACTTTAGATGAAAACAAAAGCCTTTAGTTAGAGTTGTTCTATAGAGGGAAGGTTAAGAGGTATGATATTTTATAGCTTACCAAGCTCGGAGTTTAAATGCATCACATTATTACTAATTTGTGGAAGCACCTAAATCTCGAGTTTCATAAGCTACTACAATCAAAACGGAGAACTAAGAAAAATCAAGAAGACTACTCTTTCATCATCGAACTTTGTTGATAGATAAACTCATTTAGAGGGATAAGAGACAATAAAAGCAGAGAATGATTAGAGATAAGATGTATGAAGTAAATGAGCATAATCAAAGGAGACTTAGTTGTCATTGTAATGAATGTGGGAAACAATCATATAAAATGAATAAATTTCATAATTTATAACTGAAATCAGAGAAACTCACCTAAGATTTGTGGTCTAGTTCATATTTACAACAAAAATAATAATCTTTACTTACAGTTTCAACTAAATCATTAAAGTCTACTACAACTCTCCTTTCAATTCCAGATACTAGCCCCCATAAACTCAGATCCAAGATTGAAAGTCCAAATTAAAAGAAATTTAACTCTAATTTCAAATTAATTTGCACTCCCTCCATTAATTTGAGACCATATCTTTGGGAAAAGTCCCCTTAAAAAAGGACAAATCATCTCTAAACAGATTCAACCCAATTATTCCTGAGACCCATATCACTGAGGTCATCAGCCCCTAACCTAGAAACATTTGACTATTCATCAAAAAATAGTAGTCCCAGAAGAGGAAAATCAAATTAGAATATAAAACAGGACATTCAAGTATTGACTCAAAGAACCTTCTCTAAAAGAATGATTTAAACTTGTTATTTAAAGACATTCTCTGGTATTCATGTTCGCAATAAAATACTGAGTTCAAAGAAAGAAATAAAGTGTTGAAATAAATTAATATATTGATTAAAATAATTGAATTGTAGAATATCTTTATTTTATATGTTATGCTGACAAAAAATAAGGATATTATTATTTTAGAATCCATTGATTTAATATTTAATTAACTTGATACTAAAAATTATATCTTTATTTATAATCATAAATAGATATTTTCTTTAATTAATACTTTTTAATTCTAATATATAAATGATGTATCATATAAGATTTTTTCAACTCATTTTATAAAATAAAGAAAATTATTGATTGTTAATATTGTTTAATTTTCTCAAATAAAAAAATCAGGTGCTAATTATGAATCCGAGAACTTTGGATCACATCTGTATATACTAAAATCTTTGACTCCAACACTCGCTAAGACTTCGTCATCAATGAAAAAGTTTCCTGTAGTCTTTTTGTGACAACTTGTTAATATAACATGTGCAGAATCAGCCATAATTTCCACATTTCTAGATGCTTACATCATAGAGTCCCCACCTAAAACATTTTGAACTGCAGCTGTTGCAATTGAAGTTCTTGGCCATAAGGCATTCACTCCAATTTAATTTCGGAATTCTTCACTCATCCCTAAGACACACATACTCATTCCATATTTAGCCATAGTATATGCAATGTGTGGGGCAAACCATTTGGATTACATACTTAGAGGAGGTGATAAATTGAGAATATGAGGATTAGAGGATTTCTTAAGATAAGGAATACAAGTCTTGCTCATTAAATACGTTCCTCTAGTATTGATTTGATGCATTAAGTCATATTTCTTCATGTCTGTAGATTCTGTATCTGTAAGTGATATTGCACTAGCACTATTCACAACTATGTCAATTCCACCAAAGGTTTCAACAGTTTTTTATACAGCAGCTTAAATATCCTTTTCAAATCTGATATCACATTGAATTCCCAATGCCTTACCTCCTGCTTTTTCAATTTCAGCACAAGCAGATGCAATTGTACCTGGTAACTTAGGATGTGGGTCTACTGTTTTGGCAAGTATGACAACATTAGCACCATCTTTGGCAGCTCTAATTCCAATAGCCAATCCAATGCCCTAAGCAAATAAGATTTGGATATACTCTTGATCCTCCACTAATTATGACGGTTTTGCCTTTAAGATTGCCTACCTATTCAAAAGGGAAGAAATCTGGGTATTTCATAACCCATGGATAAGTAACATTGCCAGCAGGGGGAGCAATAGTAGGATTGAACTAGTTGGAAAGTGCTTGAATTCTTTACATTAAGATTAATACGAATTATTAATTAAGACTGATGTCATTATATACTATCTAGTATTAGCTTTGAATTTAACAATTAATAAATTATCAAATTTTCAACAGAAGAATTGATCATATAGACTGACAATCATTCTTAATAGGGGTTAACATTCTAAGAATTGAATATGCGCAGTTCTGCCTATCAGTGTATCAAGGTTTCTATATTTGATGGAAATAAATACTTTTCTTAAATCTCAAAATTGACATCAATTCTATAAACATTTGTGTTTTCAAGATGCCTCAATAATGCTTTGACCATCTAAACGTATGGTTTATTCTTCCTTAAATTTATAACATATATATGAATACTAATCTTCAAGGGCCTCTTTTGAGAGTTGTACTCTGGCAGAATCATAAGGAGCATAACTGTCTTAGATGCAACTGAAAAAGCAGACATTTTTAAACCAAGCGAATCCTTTAGCCAAGGCAAGTTTTTAGAGACATGTTTCTTCAATATTTCTATTATCAGTCATTTGTAACTATTCTAAACATTTGCTTTTTCTCCATTACTTCAATACCCACATGCCAGCATCAACAATCTTACTAGCATTATAATAGTATCCTAATTGTGGAGATGAAAGACTAATGTAAGTGTACATCTTATCTTAGTATTTATCTAGATAGGGTAAGGAAGCTCTGATTATAACTCCTCCTAATGAATGTCCAATAAAGCTTAATCTACCTAAAGTATTTTCTGGACAATTTTCAGATATGAAATTGATGACTTCAGTAGCTAGTTTTTCTCCCATTTCTTGGATGTTGCCCTCAGTGTTTTCTTCATTTATTGATGAACACAAAAACATGGCTTCAGGATGTGCTAATGATATGTAGTTCTTAAATAATTTCATGTCATATGAGTTGCCTTGAAAACCATGAACCAGTACTATCAAATGAATGCCTCGATATGACATAATGTCATATTCACTATTGGTTATGTCTGCATCTACTATATTTTCTTCATTTTTATCTTTATCTTCTCTGGGAGTGAATTCTTCAAAGATGATTGGTTGTGTATCTGTTTTTGGAAATGAATTCAAATCTTCAACTCCTAATTCTTGAACTTTGGTTTCTAATCTCATTTTCTCACTTTTCTATCTATGTTCTACTCCCAAATTCTTGTCTAATAATTATTGGGGTGGTTGTT